TTAAGCCGAAAGACGTTTGTAGCCTTACGAGCTATGGATGTTAAACTATCATTAGGTGGAGATGGTGCGATTTGTGCGGAATTGACTATCAAACCATCATGGTTAGATCGAATTAAAGAATTACAAGCTAAAGATGAAAAGTGTTCAATGAAGTTGCAGCAAATAAAGAATGGAGAGTGTACAGATTGTGAGATGAAAACTGATGGGAACCTATATTATCAAGGGAGGCTAGTGATTCCAGATGATAATGAATTAAAGAATGATTTATTAATGGAAGCTCACTGTAGTCCATTAACGATGCACCCAGGAGGAAACAAAATGTATATGGATCTCAAGAGTCGATATTGGTGGCTAGAATGAAGAAAGACATTACGGAATTTGTATCAAAATGTTTGATTTGTCAGCAAGTTAAGGTTGAGCATCAGGTTCCATTGGGACTGTTACAATTAATTTCAATTCCTCAATGGAAATGGGAGAATGTAACAATGGATTTTGTGGCGGGGTTTCCTTTAATTCCAAACAAAAGATCCAAACAAAAGAGATTCAATATGGGTGCTTGTGGAAAGGTTGACTAAGTCAGCCCATTTTATTTCGGTACGAACGGATTTCTCTATGGATAAATATGCTGAGCTGTATATCAGAGAGATTATACGGTTACATGGAGTACCTGTTTCCATAGTTTCTGATCGGGATCCTAGATTCACGTCACGATTTTGGAAGTCTTTACATAGATCATTGGGCACAAGACTGAATTTTAGCACAGCGTTTCATCCTCAGAAAGATGGTCAATCTGAACGAACTATCCAAATTCTGGAGGATATGTTAAGAGCTTGTATTATTGAATTTAAGGAATCGTGGGAAAAATATTCTACTTGCTGAATTTGCATACAACAATAGTTATCAGTCAAGCATCAAAATGGCTCCCTATTAAGCTTTATATGGGAGAAGATGTCGTACACCCTTGAATTGGTATGAACTTAAGGATCGAGAAGTTATTGGTCCTGAGTTGATTCAAGAAATGGAAGAGAAAGTCCAAGTAATTCAGAATAATCTGAAAGCTGCAGCTGATAGACAGAAATCATATGCTGATTTAAAAAGGAAAGAAATTGAGTTTCAAATCAGAAATAAAGTGTTCTTGAAAGTGTCTCCGTGGAAGAAAGTATTGAGATTTGTACGTAAAGGAAAATTGAGTCCTCGGTTTATTGGACCATATGAAATCGTTAAGAGAGTGGGACTAGTGGTATATCAATTAGCTTTGCCACCTGGAATGGAGAAAATTCACAACGTCTTTCATGTCTCAATGCTTAGGAAATATCGATCCGATCCATCTCATATTGTAACTACTGAAAAGATCGAGGTTCAACTAGATTTGACTTATGAGGAAGAACTTGTTCAAATATTGGCTCACGAAGTCAAGCAATTAAGGAACAAGACTATTCCATTAGTTAAAGTGTTGTGGAGAAATCACAAGGTGGAAGAAGCGACGTGGGAACGTGAAAAGGACATGAAGATTCAATATCGCCATCTCTTTGTATAATGAAAATTCGAGGATGAATTTTTTTAGGGGGAGAGATTTGTAACATCCCAAAATACGGGTTAGTGATTAAATTATAAAACTTCAGAGTTTGGTGATTGAAGTAGGATATTTGAATAATTTAATGATTTGTTCAGAAATATTTCCTGAAAGTTATTAGTAATTATCAAAAGAATTAAAGGGCAAAATGGTCATTTAGCATGAAAGATATTTTTCCCCCAATAATATGATTGAATCATGTGGAGGTGGGGGAAAGAGTTATCTGAAAACTCTTTCTTCTTCCTTTCTTCTTCTCCCAACCGTGGAAGCTAGGCAAAGGTAAGGGTTTTCTGAGTTGTTGATTATTTGTTAAATTAAAGGTTAGGTTTGGATCATTAGATGGTAATTAAGCTTAAGGAAAACTTAAGTTGTCTTATAATCAAAAGATGAAGAAGTTATAAAAGATTTAAGAAAATGAGTTTTTATATGAAATCATGAAAAAGATTTGATAAGTTGAATTTGAAGTTAATTTTGACTTGTCATCATGATAATTAAGGAATATGAAGTGTTAGAATTGTATTTAGAACATATTGAAATTTGAGTATGATTCTTGAATTACATATGAGGAATAGAATTTTTAAGTTATAGATGATTTTCATGGATATAAGTTGGTTTAAGTAATGGTAGTTGAGTTTAATGATATGATAGGGGTTTAAAATAGAAGAATTGAGTGAAGAATTGAAGATTTTCGGGCTTAAAGTACAATTTCTGGGCAGAGGGAACCAATACCTATAAAGGGGAATCGATTCCCATTCTTGAACGAAAAATTTCCAGTATGTTCAGGGGTATCGATTCCCCCTAAAGGAAAAATGAAATTTGGTTCAATAATCTGGCTTATGTTGTTAACATCAAGTTTAAGGTTTAGGCTTCTGATAGTTGTTTTGAAATGTTATATTTATGTAGATATTGAGCCTAAACAAGCTCTGGAATAATCAAGGGACTAGAATTGATTCAAATCAAACAAGGCTAAGGTGAGTGCAATTTAATTTGTACTTATATTATCGAACAAACATTGGCTTGCGATGAGACAGTAATGGAGTTACTATGGTAAGAAGTGACTCCTAAAATAGTATTTGATTGGTGATCGATGTGATTATTGTATGTGTTATGATCTATGTGAATATGCAATATGTGATACATGTTATATGATATGAAATAGATGTTTTGACAGAAGAAAAGAAATATGTGATCATAAGAGCAATAATAATAAGTTATGAGATTACATGTTTATATGGTACAAGTAAGTTGAATTGTTATAAATGATAATGCACATGTTATGTGAAATGAGAGCTAGTGGTATAGTTGGCATGCCAAGAGTCGAGGGTTCCATATGTCCTACGAGACATATGATAGGTCTTTCGGGACACATATTACATCCTTCGAGATGATAGGTCTTTCGGGACACAGATGACATCCTTTGGGATGATAGGTCCTTTGGGACATAGTTTATACGAGCTGTGGTGACAGCATATGTGTGCACAACCTCATAGTACTCACATACCTTGAGTTCTCAGTAATGTTCATGGGCCTACAAAAGATATCAAAAGTATATATATAGGCTAATACATGAGTTAATAAAATAAATAGTATAAATACACTGTATATAATGCATATGATTTGTTATATAAAATGTTTTATGGTTTATATTATATTCTTTAAATGCCTCACTAAGTCAAAGACTTAGCGTGTGATTGTTTCACACGTAGGATCAAAGAAGTTGAAAGAGCAAGGATAGACATCTGAGACAACATAGCTTTATTCGAGATCAGATCAGAAGATATTTTATAGTAGGTTCTCTTTCTTATAATAAATAGTGTTGGCATGTAACTAAAGTTTTTAAATCTTTTATGTGCTAATAAGTTTTATAAACTGTTTGAGATAATTTATGTAAATTATTCAGTTATATGTAGAAAAAGTTTAAAATTATTCACTATTTTGTACAAGTAAATGTTTTGAAATGTCAATGTGACACCTCGGACTCGTATTCGATTCAGGTACGGGTTGGGGGTGTTATACTACTACTAATAATAATAATTCAGAGATGGACGTATGATTTTATATGAGAGAAGATGGATTTCTAAAATTTTAAGAATAATAAATTTATAATATTTTTTAAATTATTAATAAAAGATAAATAAAATATTTAAAATATATGATAATTTAAAATCTTTAAAAGAATGACCGACTTATTCTCCTTTCTGTCCATCCCTAAAATAGCCTATAACGCCTAAGGTATATAATGTGAAACTATGTTAATACGAAATAATACATGCAATGGAGGAAGGATGCATGTAATGCCACAAACCTATAATGCAGAATCATACCAATACAAAGTAGTAATACATAAACATATAATGTAAAACTTTATTTTTTTGAATTAATCACTGATATGTATATGATCTATTGACCGACTAATCTAGATCGGGTACTACAGGGGCAAGGGCGACCCTCCCAACTCAATTTGCTCCATTTGCAAACGTCAGGATCTGAACCCCTGACCTTGCTTAAAGACCTAATATCTCATCCACAAAGTGGTTGTTGGTATAATGTAAAACTTTATTAATATAAAACAAAACTAATGTACCATAAAAAATATAAAATAATACTATTGAGACATGTGACGGTGGGTATAAATAAATAATCAAAATAAATGATGTTGATAATTTTAAAGATTAAATTATAACATTTTATAATTGGATAATGTAAACAAAAGAGTTACTAATAATTGAATGGTGTAATTTACAATGAAATGATATTACTACTAAAATAGGTTAGAAAACTCATATTTTTATTAAGAAACGTTATCTCATTTATCTACAAATAAAATTGATAAAGTAATACATATTTTTTTTAATTTTTGGATAAATATAAAATAATATCTTTTTAAAAATAAGTCTCAATTATTTGATATTAGACGTTCGTAGTCTTGACATTTATGATGTTCAAATCCGAGATCTCAAGGAATAACAATAATTCGTTTAACAAATTATTTGGTTTATGCAAGTAATATATATTTCAAAATATATTAAAATAAAGAAAAATAAATAATACAAATATATAATATTTGGGATGGCTTAAGGGGTAAGTTAGAACCGTGAAAGCACCCTGTTCCCTTTACAAAATAAAATCCAAAGTCATTTCCACTTCAAATTACATCTGCTTTCCTTGACCAATACGAATATATAATTTATTTGTTAATATAATGTATAAATATTTTAAAAATTATAAATATAATAATTACAATTACTTTATGGTATCGTCCTTGTAAATCGGGATCTAATTCCCCAAATTTCTGTTTTTTAAAATTGAATTTTCTTAAACCCTAAATTTTAATATATAAAAATAAGTCCTCTGTTTTCTTCTATTGTTTGTCTTCTTCTGCTCGTTCGCTCGCTCACTCGCTGACTCACTCCCAAAAAAGAAGAAAAAACAGCTGAAATTATTTTGCCTTTCTAGATTTTGATTAGTTTTCCCTATTCCATGAAGGATTCCTCTTCATCCTCCAACCACCGCCACCCGCCGCCGCCGCCGCAGCCGCCTGGTGGCCATACACCGTACCACCATTACCACAATCACCGCCCCAGCTACCCAAACACCTACCGTCCTAGTATTCAGGCTGTGAATAACCAACACTACCGCCGCCGTTTTCCTCTGGCTCCAGCCACCACCGTTGGTTCCGTATGTTCCAACGTCCTCCGCCGCCCAAACTTCATAATTCAACTCCTCCACGATCATTCCCCCTCCCCTTCTGAACCCAACAACCTCCAGACTCTTATTTCCCAACACGACCCATCCCCCGAAAGCTCCCACATCTTCACCGCCGGGAAAGTCGCAGCTTCTCTAACGTTCCGAGAATGGAACGAAACCCTCTCTTCAGTTCTTCATCTCTGGCGTTCCCGCTTTGATGGGTTCCACCATTATACTCCAGAGCTTATTTGCAACATCATAGTGCCTTCCGATGCGGTGGAACTCGAACAAAACCTTAAAACCCTTTTCTCGAGCCATATTACGGGATTGATGGAAGGGGAATTGGTTAAGAAGTGGCAGAAGAAAATCAACGAAAAATCCGATGAGATCGCTCAGTTGTCAAGACAGATGGGTAAGAGGAATTATTCGTATATAAGGTTTTATGAGTTGAATGACACGAAGAAAGCTTTAATGGCGGAGAGATTGACAATTTCAAAGCGGTTGAAGGAGTTTAAGGGAGGGATGGCGAGCTTGTTGAAGTGTTTGGAAGATGGGGAGATAATAGGGAATGTGGAAGATGATAAAGGTGTGGAGGTTTTCAGGGTTGAAGGAGAGCTTGATTGGAAGAGAATTCATCTGCTGATTTTGAGGGAATGTAGGAGGTTGGAAGATGGTTTGCCTATTTATGCTCACAGACGAGAGATTCTTACTAGAATACATGGGGAACAGGTAATCATTTATTTATTAACCCAATTTTCTGTTTTATTTTCAGCTTTGTTTTGGGTTTTATGATGTATTTTGGTATATAGTTTTGGACTATCATCATATATATTGTGTTAAACGTAAGACCTTAGTGATGCAAAATTTAAAATGTGAATTTTGGTTTGGAGATTGTGAATACTAGCTTTATATGTACATGAGATGTGTTCATTCAGAGGAGTATCACCCTATAATTTGACAGTGTAATTTAGAGATGAAAAACTTGAAAAGTAGGCTTAAGTGCAATAGAGTTTGAAAACCATTGAAAGTAAGTTCATATAATTTTGTTATGAGAAATTCAACAAAAGAAAAAAAGAGAGTAATTTACCTCACCATGCTGTAGTGGATAATAACTGCAAAATTTTTAGGTTATTTTCTTTGTCCTTTTATATTCATTTTATTCCTATATTACTTGGGTGTTTAAATCTAATAATAATGTTGCTGTTTTTATCTCTTTCCTTGATTTCACTTATCACTATTTAATATACAGATCATGGTTTTGATTGGAGAGACTGGTTCAGGAAAGAGCACCCAGTTGGTTCAGTTTCTTTCTGATTCAGGAATCGCTGCAAATGAGTCAATTGTATGTACTCAGCCACGAAAGATTGCTGCCATCTCATTAGCAAAAAGAGTCAGAGAAGAAAGCATTGGGTGTTACAATGATAATTCAGTCATTTGTTGTCCAACATTTTCTTCTGCTCAGCAGTTTGATTCGAAGGTAATATATATGACTGACCACTGTTTACTGCAGCATTATATGAATGATAGGAATTTGTCAGGGGTTTCTTGCATCATTGTTGATGAGGCCCATGAAAGAAGTTTGAATACTGATCTTCTCTTGGCCATGCTTAAAGATTTACTTGTCCGAAGAGTTGATCTGAGGCTTGTGATAATGTCTGCAACAGCTAATGCAAATCAACTCTCAGACTACTTTTTTGGGTGTGGAATCTTTCATTTGGAGGGGAGGAACTTTCCTGTTGATATTAAATATGTTCCTTATGTAACGGAGGGAACTTCCAGTTATGGTATGGTTCCTACATATGTTTCTGATGTCTTGAGGATGGCTGCTGAGGTTCACAAAACAGAGAAAGAAGGGAATATTCTTGCCTTTTTGACTTCCCAGATGGAAGTAGAATGGGCTTGTGATCATTTTGAAGCTCCAAATGCGGTTGTGTTACCATTGCACGGGAAGCTATCCTTTGAAGAGCAATGTCATGTTTTCCATGACTACCCTGAGAGAAGAAAAATTGTATTTGCAACAAATATTGCAGAGACATCGCTTACAATTCCTGGAATCAAGTATGTGATTGATTCTGGTATGGTAAAGGAGAGTAAATTTGAACCCGGCACTGGAATGAATGTTCTCAAAGTCTGCTGGATCAGCCAGAGTTCTGCCAATCAACGAGCTGGTCGTGCTGGGAGGACAGAACCAGGAAGATGCTACAGACTATTCACAGAAAGCGATTTTGAGTTAATGGCCCCTAATCAGGAGCCCGAGATTCATAGAGTTCATCTTGGTACTGCAGTTCTGAGGATCCTTGCTTTGGGAATCAAGAATGTTCAGAGTTTTGATTTTGTTGATGCACCTAGTCCTAAAGCCATTGACTTGGCAACTAGGAATCTTGTCCAGTTGGGAGCCATTGTGGAAAAGAATGGGGTTTTTGAATTAAGTGATGAAGGACGACACTTGGTAAAATTGGGGATTGAGCCTCGTCTTGGTAAACTAATTCTCCGTTGCTTTCATTGTGGCCTGCGTAGGGAGGGCCTTGTTCTTGCTGCTGTTATGGCAAATGCCAGTAGCATATTTTGCAGGGTGGGAAGTGATAATGATAAAGCGAAAGCTGATTGTCTTAAGGTGCAATTTTGCCACCGCAATGGTGATCTCTTCACTCTGCTCTCTGTGTACAAGGAATGGGAAGCTCTTCCTTCCGATAGGAAAAATAAATGGTGCTGGGAAAACCGCATAAATGCTAAATCAATGCGTAGATGCCAAGACACAGTCTTTGAATTGGAAAATTGTCTTAAAAAGGAGCTTGCTTTTATTATTCCAAGTTACTTAATATGGGATCCTCATAAGTCCACTGAGCGAGATAAAATTTTGAAGGCTATTATACTTTCTTCCCTTACTGAAAATGTAGCCATGTATTCTGGACATGATCAACTTGGTTATGAAGTGGCATTGACTGGGCAGCATGTTCAACTGCATCCTTCATGTTCATTGCTGATATTTGGTGAGAAGCCAAGTTGGGTTGTCTTCGGTGAACTGTTATCTGTCAACAAACAGTATTTGGTCTGTGTAACTGCTTTTGATTTTGAATCTTTGGCTACCCTAGATCCTCCACCCTTGTTTGATGCATCTTTGATGGAAGGACGGAAGTTGGAAGTGAAGGCAATAACCGGTTTTGGTAGTACTCTGTTAAAAAAATTCTGTGGGAGATCTAACCACAGCCTTCAATGTCTTTCATCACGGATTAGGACAGCTTGTATGAATGAGTGGGTTGGTGTTGAAGTCAATATTGACCAGAATGAGATTCTTCTGTTTGCCTCATCAGTGCACATGCAGAAGGTTCTGGACTTTGTAACTGAGGTTCTTGAATGTGAAAAGAAATGGTTGCTTAATGAATGCATAGAGAAATCTGTATTTCATGGACGAAGAGCCTCACCATCTATGGCACTTTTTGGAGCTGGTGCAGAGATCAAGCATCTTGAAGTTGACAAAAGATATTTGACTGTTGAGGTATTCCATTCAGATGTTAATGCCTTCTATGATAAGGAGCTTTTGATGTTCTTTGAGGAGAATTCTAATGGCAGTATTTGTTCGGTCCATAAATCTCAACCCAGTGGGCAGGAAGCGAATGACAAGGAAAAATGGGGCAAGATAACGTTCCTAACTCCTGATGCTGCCAGAAGAGCTGCTGAGCTGGACGGGGTCAATTTTGCCGGCTCTGCATTGAAGGTACTTCCTTCACAGACATCCTTTGGGGGGGATCATAAAATGTTCTCTTTCCCTGCTGTCAAAGCTAAAGTTCATTGGCCTCGTAGGGTCAGTAAAGGATTTGGAATCGTTAAATGTAATCTGGTTGATGTTGGGGCTATTTTGGATGATTTCTCTCGTCTGGTAATAGCTGGAAAATATGTTCGTTGCGAAGTTAGCAGGAAATCTAATGATTCTATTCTGATATATGGAATTGATAAAGAGCTTTCTGAAGCTGAAATCCGGGATACACTATGTTTGGAAACAGAAAGGAAAATCCATGATTTTTTTCTCGTGAGAGGAGATGCCGTGGAAAATCCAACTTGTGGTGCCTGTGAGGAAGCACTCCTCAGAGAAATATCCCCCTTTATGTCTAAAGGGAATCCCTATACTAACTGTTGTCAGGTTCAGGTTTTTGAGCCTGAACCAAGGGATACTTTCATGAGGGCGTTGATTACCTTTGATGGAAGATTACATTTGGAGGCTGCAAAAGCTTTAGAACAGCTAGAAGGTAAAGTATTACCTGGATGTCTTTCATGGCAGAAGATAAGATGCCAGCAACTGTTTCATACTTCTATATCTTGCTCTTATTCTGTCTATGCCGTTATTAAGAAGCAGCTTGATTCTTTGCTAGGGAGCTTCAGACATGTAAAAGGTACTTGAACTGTCATAGCACTATTATTAGTTTTCTCTGTCTCAACTTTCTTTGTGCATGTTTATATAGTTGTATATGAATGCTTTGTTATTTAAACACTCACACTAGAGTCAAGTAACGTAGTATGTATTCCACTGTTTGTGCTTCGGTGTTAAGAGATATGCCTCGGGCCAGAGCTTGTCAGCGAGTTTCTTGTTTTGCATTTAATTTCTGGTTATATCAATTATTTTTCTTTCAATTTCTTTCCGGTTAATCAATTCTGCTTTGGGTTATTTTCAAACTTGTCACACTTGATTGACATTTCATATCATCTTTTAGGATTTTAATGCAGTTATGCCGGTTTTAAACTATTTTAAACTGCACTATAGATTCTTAGTTTTGCCAATCTGGGTGATAGTAATATTTAAGTATCAAAATATATCCTCTAAAAATGATGAACAGGTTTGCCAATCTGTTTTCTTTATGTTGAAAATGGTTAAGGAATTTGGATGTTTTCTTATGAAATTGTCAACACATCATTTACAGGTGCAGATTTCTTCCTAGAGGAAAATGAAAATGGTTCCTGTCGGGTTAGAATATCCGCCAATGCCACCAAAACTGTGGCAGAGTTGAGAAGGCCGGTGGAAGAGCTAATGAATGGAAGGACTGTAAAACATGCCAGCCTCACTCCTTCCATATTGCAGCACCTGTTCTCTAGAGATGGCATTAATCTAATGAGATCATTGCAACGAGAGACAAGAACCTATATATCTTTCGACCGGCATAGTCTCAATGTGAGAATCTTTGGCAATTCCGATGCTGCTGCTGTAACCGAGCAAAAATTGATTCAATCCCTTTTGTCCTACCACGAGAGCAAGCAGCTTGAGGTTCGACTTCGAGGTCAGGGCCTGCCTCCTGATATTATGAAGCAAGTGGTTAAAAGTTTTGGGCCAGACCTTCATGGGCTCAAAGAGAAGATACCTGGGGCTGAATTTACTCTCAACACCCGACTTCATATCATTTCTATTCGTGGTGACAAAGAGATGAAGCAAAAAGTAGAAGACATTGTCCTGGAGATTGCCAAAGCAGGCAGAGATTTAGCTGAGAGATCTGGTAGTGAAGTCATCTGCCCCATTTGCTTGTGTGAAGTAGAAGATGGTTACCGTCTCGAAGGATGTTCACATCTCTTTTGTCGTCTATGTTTGGTGGAGCAATGCGAATCCGCCATTAGAAACTTGGATAGTTTTCCTGTATGCTGTGCTCACCATGATTGTAAAGCTCCCATTTTGCTTACTGATTTAAAGTCTCTGCTGTCGACTGAGAAGTTAGAGGAACTCTTCAGGGCCTCTTTGGGTGCATTTGTTGCATCCAGTGGTGGTGCCTATCGGTTTTGCCCTTCTCCTGATTGCCCCAATGTTTATCGCGTTGCAGGTCCTAACACTTCGGATGAGTTATTTGTCTGTGGAGCATGTTATGCCGAGACTTGTACTCGGTGCCATCTTGAATATCATCCGTATGTGTCATGTGAGAAGTACCAAGAGTTCAAGGAAGACCCTGATTCTTCTTTGAAAGAGTGGTGCAAGGGGAAAGATCAGGTACAAACTTGCCCCGTATGCGGATACACAATCGAGAAGATCGATGGGTGCAACCACATCGAATGCAAGTGTGGGAGGCATGTTTGCTGGGTATGTTTAGAGTTCTTTAGCAGCAGTGACGATTGTTATAGCCATTTGAGAGCTCTTCACATGGCCATCATCTAATTTTTAAACTATTGCTTACAGTTCGACAATCATCCATGTAAATATATATCGTGTATATATATATGTATATACGGGTCGGCTCCGATACCGGCTCTTGTAAATGATTTTCAAACCCATTCACATTTACTAGCACTGCTTGCATCTCCGTTTGGATGCTATTATAAACTCTACATTGTACAAGTTCTGAAACAGATGGAAAATCTATCGAATAGAATATTCGATTGTCCAGATCATATGCTTTCGATTTTAGGCGGAAGAGTGGTGGTCGGAACCGTTCTGGCCACCGATTGAAAACGTGCTGGTTGGTTCTCAGACGACATCATCAGGTCGAACATCCGAAATTTTGCCGCATTCAATATTCGTGGAAAAGGTCTCCATCTTGGTGCTTTGATAGGGCTATACAATATTGTTCTCTTTTCAAATTATTTATTTATTTTTTTTGAAAATACTTTTCAAATTATTTATGCTTTTAGTTATTGCGGACTTATTTTTATGAAGACTTCTTTCAGACTTTCAAAATAAAAGATTAAAGTTTTAAATTGAATTTTTTTATTGTTTGGTTTGTTTTCTATTCAATCCAAAAATTCGAATTCATTATTAATTTAAATCTAAAAGAAAAAAATTATGTTTAATTAAAATTAAGACTGAATTATAGAATATATAAGTAATAAGGGCTAAATATGATTCATACAAATTTATTTAATTGTCATGTTATCAATTTCATTAAAGATTAACCACCGGTAATTTAATTAAAATCAAATTAAAAATTTAATTACGTCTAAAAAATTAAAATGTTTTAGTGAAGATGTCCTTAGAATTTTATTTTTGTAACTCCATAAAAAAAAGCCTTTATTGTTAGTATATATGTCCAACCTAAAAAAATATTTCTAGATCTATCATTAACTTAGTCAAAAACATGAGCCAGGATTAATCAAGAAACTGTTACAAGAACATGATAATTTATGGTACAAAAGCTATCAACTTAATTAATCAGATGGTTCCTCTTGAAACCGATCCACCATTTCATAAACAGCCTCTGCAATTTCATTCACCGTAGTTACCTTACAGTCATCTTCAATCTGTTCCAAAAGAAAACATAAATTCCATTAAACAAAATACTCGGATGTTGAAGAAACAGATCATTACGGTTAATTAAATTTACCTTAACACTGAAAGAATAAAGGATCAGATTTTCAACCGATGTGACATTAAGATGTAGCACAAAAAATCCCAGAGATTGAATCCCATTCACCATTTTCAACAGCTGTTTTGGGTGTTTTTTCGTTAGTATTTTCAGGTTTGCGTAGGTTTCCACCATTGTTACTTCGACATTCGCAGCAGATGACGTCGACGACACTGATTCGCCGCCGGCAGCGGCGCATGTATGGTGGGTGGTGGTGGAAGTTGAGTACTGCGGAAAGTAAAAGAGTCCCGAGAAAATGGAAGAATCTGGGTAGTTTTCTGAGTTCCTTCTCGTAATTTTCCGGAATTCTAAAGATTGAAGAAGCTGTTCTAATTCCTTTACGTAATCAATGGTTCCCCCTATGATTGATGCTTGATCACCCTATGAACAATAAAGGGTTTTTCAGTAATATCTACAAATTTGCTCAAAAGAAATGCATGAAAAAAAAGGGTACCCTTTGAACGTAAGAGGCCGGCATCATAGATTTAAGAACACCAAGGTAATCATTCATTTGTTTCCTCCTTTTTCTCTCAACGATAATATGAGTCATTCTTTGATGCTCCACTTCTTCTCTGTTCTTAACACCGTTTCTCCGCCGTCTCTTCCTCCGGCACGATGGAGCAAATTCGGCGGCGGCAAAGCCATTATGATCCGAGGAAGAACAAGTTGCAACGAAACCAAAGCCTGTACTTTTAGCCCAAGTACTTCGGTCTTCTTGTTTTAAGCTTAACGGGTCTTCGAGGTGGCAGTCATAACTGAACGGGTCTTGCTGGAACACTACGGTTTCTAATGCCATGAAAATTTTCTGTTCGAGAGCTTTTAAGTTTTCTTTGTTGCCAAACAAGAACTTGTAAATAATGGTGATATCGCAGAAACATATAGAGGAGGAGATTCACTCTATTATTTTAAACTAATTTATATTTTAATCCAGACTTTTATAGTTGTTAGATACTAAGAATGTCATATTACAAAAATCGAATAAATTATATTTGTGCTCTTATCTGTACGTATAAACAAGTGTGTATCTTATGATTTTGTTTGGTATTTATCAATAATATACATTTGCATTCCAATTTCCAGTTTCTTAATAAATTATTTATTATTTATACACGCAAATATACTTCAATTAGATAAAAAAACTTTTTTGTTAAGTAAATTCTTTAAGATATCTTATAATTAGATGTGTATGATTTTGTGGGACATGAATGTCGTGAAATAATATAAAAAGAGAAGGGGACAGAGACAGAATAGAGCAGCAGGGGGAGCAGGGAGGATGGCAGGTGGGAGAATCTATGTCGACGACCATGTGACTACTACACAACCATATATACATGTTAAGAGGATGCAATTATCTACCGCAAAGACCAACACTTCCTCCCTCTCCCACGACACCATTTTTCGGGTTAACCTATGTACTAAGTGAAAATTACAAATTCAACCCCTCTCAATTTTCTCCAAATTTCTTACTTTTACTTCATATTGCTAAGTCTCCGGAGTTTTATAAAACCTCTTAGGGGTGTTTAGTTCAAGGATTGTGGGATTCCCATGTTTGGTTGGTCGGGAATCTCATTCCCGGTAATATTTTATTATCAATAGTAGATTTTTTGGGGTATATTACCGGGAATGTCATTACCTCACTTCCCTTAGGTATTGTAACATTACCGATGTTTTGGACTAAAATGCCCTTAATTTTTTTTTTCAAAAATATCATTCTTCTATCATTGAATAATAAAAATTCTACGAAGGTTAAATTACAAATTTATCCTTAAATTATTTTAGATTTACAAAAAAAATCTATAATTAAAATTTTATATGAAATTCAGGGGTTAAAATTTTTTTACCCTTTTATTAAACCTTTTTTATATTTTTAATTTTGTAAAAAAAATTATATAAATATTATGAATTTAATTTTTTAAAGAAAATATATAAATATTTTACAATTTGTAATATTATACAAATATATAATAAGGACAATTTGGTCAAATATACATTCCAATAATCTTTTATTCCTTTAACCAAACACGGTAATCTTATATTCCTGCTAAACCAACCAAACACAAAATACAACATTCCCAGTAATCATATTCCCTGGTAATCTTTTATTCTCACTGGTAATCTTACATTCTGTGAACCAAACGCACCCTTAAGGTTTTTAAAGTCTCCCGAACTCTATAAGACTTTCAAAGTTTCTTAAAGTTTTCGAAGTTTCATATCTTTCGGGAAGCTATAACACCCTAGGTTTAACATTAGTGCTACGCATTAGAATTCTCCAAGAATATTTCATGTTGTCTCTTCATAAACATTAATTTCATTTGTTGTGTAACCATAACATCGATATGTCTCCTCCTTAGCCAAGAGCGTTGAGCGTTTAGCGTTGGCAAGAATATATTTATTATATCATAACATTTATAATTGTGTTTGGTCTGCGGTATGGTGATTAGACTTATTATGGACAATCATTCAACTATGACTACGTCATGAGATTATGCGGTATGTCCCACTGTTTCCCCTTTTCTGTTCATTGAATTTTGGGCCCCACAAAAGATGCATTGAATTGGGCATTTCATTGTCCTAATTAGCACCACATACAGACATACTACACCCAAAATATTACATGACACCATTCTATAATATATATACCCACCAAATTGTAACTTAATTAATACTGTTATTATTATAATATATTAGAAAAAAAATAGGATATATAAATAACTAAAATATTATCTATAATATAAATGCATAAAATATAAAACCGCATTAGCAATAAATAAGATGTGTATGAATCTATTAATTGATCAAGTAATCAATGATCTTAAATTCTATGAGTTTAAATCTTGACATTTATTTTAAAATTATAATGCTTCTTTACTTAATAAAAAATAAATAAGATGTGAATATACAAATTATGAGTTCAAGGATGACATATGATTTTATGTTAGAGGGAAAACTTCTAAAATTTTAGGGGATAAATTTATAAATTTCAGAAAAATAAAAATATATTTTTAATATAAAATACATAAAAATAATTTAAAATATATGATAATTTTAAATTTTCAAATGAGAATTAATGACTTTATCGGTCCTCTCTTATCCATCTCTATACGAGTTAGATAGTAAAAAAAGGGAAACAATATTTAACGTGGGGTACCTTTGATATGGAAAGGCAAATAATGCTTGTCATTTTTCATACAAAGGCAAACTCTATCAAGAATTCTTCTCTTTGATTTTTTCCCTTTTCATGGCTGCACCCCTATATGTAGAGATGGCTATGAGACTCGAATTTAACGGGTTTTGATTCGACCTGATTTGATCGGGTTAAATTTATTTTTAAAAAAATTTGGAGTCGGGTTGGGTTCGGGTTTAGGGTGAAAAATACCCGACCTGACCCGAAAAAAATATATAATTTTACCTTATATATTTAGAAATAATTACAATAATACTCTTCTAAATATTATTTTTTTCAATTAAGTCATTATTTTTATTGAATAAAAATATTTTTTTTATTTCGGGTCGGACCAGTTCGGGTAAAAACTTGTTTAGGTCGCATCGGGTCTCGGGTGGAGGACTCCTTGTTCTCGGGTCGGGTGGACCAAAAACCCGACCCGACCCGACCCATGCCCATCCCTACCTATATGAGCTTTCTTTGTTATTAAAAAATTGAAAAGATATTTCAATGGCATTAGGGGTGGAAAAACAAAAGACATCAAATTTATATATTACTAAAGAATTATATTTAAATACATCATCAATAAATTAATACTTTTTTTTTGGTATTCTATAAAATTAAAATCTCTTTTAAATTTGTATTTGATGTATTGAGGATAAATAAAATCAAATATGGCAAGTTCCATGAATGATCATCTAATTATATGGTGATTTTAATTTGATTATTGATCTATTAATTTTTCACTCAGACCATTTAATTTTTTAAATGATGTCAATTAAATCATTTGTCGTCAACAAATAAGTTGACACGATAGCCAAAAGAATAAATATAATTATATATTTGATTCTCATTACTTAAATATTTTATCAATTTAGTCCTAATTTTAATTTAAATCAATAACTTTAATTTTAACTATAAGGTGATGTTGACATGTCACCATATGATTGGAGGATTTTTTCTTTAAATTTAAATAAAATTTTCATCCAATCACATACTTACAATTTTCCATTCAATCAAATAGTGACATATGTCACAATCTAATAAATGAAAATTTTTCAAATCCAAAGTTGGCAACAATGGAATCAAACATAGGCTATATGTCAAAAGTTTACATTTGTTTTATTAGGATAATGTCAAAATTAGCCTCTAATATTTATTAAAATGATCATTTTAGGGTAAAAATGTCTCTAACGTTTGACTGAACAATCACTTTGGCTCTTTTTTTTGGGGAGTATTTTGGCCCTCAACATTTTGTTTTAGGGTAAAAAGACTATTGTTTTAGACCGTTAACTATTTGTTAGCTAATGATTTCCATCTATAAAGAGATATTTTTGACCAAAATGAAAGGTTTGGGGCCAAAATATCAAAAAAAGAAAAAGAATAGGATCGAAAATAATCATTTTTCGAAATAAAGTAAAACTGGGGGATTCATCCAAAGCTTTGTTTTTTCAACAACACTATATATATAATATACCCAAACATCAAAATCTACCCTTGAAGCTGCTGCTGCATAGTTTCTTCCATGTGAGGCTTTACTTTCTCCAACTTCGTGTTCAAGTTTCAATTTCTCACTATACTAGTAATAGATAATGTTATGGATTGGATGATCAATTTATTATAAATTGATAATATTATTAACTAAATCTTTAATTTCAAAATAGTAGTTAAAAAAATTACTCAAACTTTAATTATTATTTATGTAATTTATCCTTTAAAAATTTTAAAAATAATAATTAAACAATCAAGAGTCAATACTTCAAGTGTTTGGATTTTTAGTAGTTTTATAACCCAAGACTCTTAACACTAATCCAAGCCCTGGCCATAGTGTGTCGAAAACGAAGTCATCAACTGGGCTATCCACGGGTTTATATATTCCAGAGTCAATTTTTTATATAAAAAAATAAAACAAATTTACAACAACAATATTCCTTTATAATTCTATAGATTTAAATGTATATTATTTTCTGATTTATGATTGGAGTTGTAATTTGGACAATTTAAGTATTGTATGAAAAATAAGGGTAAATTATACAATTATTTTTTTTCAAAATCATACATAATGATACGTTTTGATTTAATTTTGGTCACTCATCATTAAAAAATTAACGGTGAGGTTCTCTTGGCGCACGTTAGCGGGTCTAATGTTCTCTCATCTCTCCTTCCTTACTTCTGATTTCTTCTCGTCTTTGCTTTCTGGAGTTTATCTTGGTTGTTCTCTCGTTGCTTGTATGGATCCTGATTCCTTGAATATGGACTGGAAGAAGATCTTTGTGGGTTCGAAGGTGCATCTCTTGACTTCTTTCCCCCTGAGATCCGTGATGGAGTGACTACTTTCGTTCCCCCAATTGAGGTGATTGATAAATGAATTACAGATTGGAACCTCGCTTTAGTGGGTCAGTTCATTGGCTCAGCCCCGAATTTTGGATCTATGCAGCGCATTATTGAAACAATTTGGGGGAATTCTTCGCGAGTCAAGGTCAGTCTTGCCGGCCCTAATCTCTTTGTCTTTAATCTTTTTGATGTTGGGTTGAGGGATTGGGTCTTGGATAATGGACCTTGGCATGTTTATAACAAGCCATTAGTGTTGAGGATCTGGACGCCTGGTATGCAGAAGCTTAGCTTCGATCTGTCCTCTATGCCAATTTGGGTTTAATTTTATAATGTTCTATTAGAACTTTACTCTCAGAAAGGTTTGAGCTACATTTCTAGTGCCTTAGGGTGCCCTTTGTACATGGACTCTACTACGGCTTTTAGAGAGCGATTGGAATTTGCTAAAATTTGTGTAGAAGTTGAAGCTGGAACTGTTATTCCAGATTTTGTCCATGTTGTTTTAAAGGATAGTTCCACTGTGGCTATTAAGGTGTATGTTCCTTGGACTCCCAAAAGTTGTGATAAGTGCAAGACATTTGGGCACCATGTTCAGGCTTGTTCTGAGGCTAGGCCTCCTGCTCAGAAACATAAAGAGGTGCAAGTTTGGAGGAAAAAGGATAGTAATGCTGTAGCTTCTGTAGCTTCTGTTAGTGAAAACCCTCTATCAGAAACTGTCTCTGCTTCCTTGGGGCTGACTGATCCTGCTAACCCATCTAAGGACACGAGTTCTTATCTTTATTTTGTCAATTTTATTAAGGATTCAAGATTGGACTTACAAGTTGGCTCAGCTACGGTGACAATAATTCTGGATTTGCAAGAACCCTCTGTGCCTAATATGGAGGATGTCAAGAGTTTCTCTAATAGTCCTCCTCAGGCTCCTCGACTGCTAATTCTTCCCAGGCTCTTGCTACTGTTATTTCTTCCCAGGATCTTGATACTGTTTTGATCCAGGATGATATAACTACTTCTTGTCCTCAGGTAGCTGTTCATGGGGATTTCCCATCTCTTCAAGACTCTTTCAATAAGAAACCGAAGGGTAGGAAAAAAGATGTTGTTGGTTCCTCTAGTAAATTGGAGACTGTGGCTGATGGTCCGAGGAAAGCTTGTGTGGCTTCCATGGGTGGGGCTATGCTTCTCAACGAAATGAAATCTAAAAAGAAGGATCATCTCGATAAAGCTAGAGGTAATGTCGTTGGTTTGAGCACAGGCAGTAGTGCTGCCCCTCTCCCCTCTTTGTGATGCTTGTCCCCTTCTGGAATATTAGGGGGATCAACAATCCCCTTAAACAGTTAAAGGTATTTAGGAGACTTATCTCTTGTGGTGCTAATGTCATATGTCTGATGGAAACTCGAATTAAAAGTGATAATTCTGACAGATTCATTGTTGCCTTGTCTGATGACTTGAAGTTTGCTGTGAATTATGAGTTTGTTGAAGGTGGAAGAATTTGGATCTTTTGGAGGAATCATCTGATGTTTTCTATTTTTAGAAGTTGTGATCAAGCTATTACTATTACTAGGGCTACTGATGGTCATAGCATTGCTATTACTGCTATTTATGGAAGTAACAATGGTGTTGTTAGAAGGGGTTTATGGGAGCATTTAAGTACTGTTGGGAAGGATATTGGTCCCTCCTCTTGGTTGGTTAGTGGGGATTTCAATATCATTGCCAAGGCTGAGGAGAGTTCTGATTTTGACATCTTGGGTATTCATTGCACATCTGATATGAAGGACTTCCAAGATTGTTTGGAGGGGCTTGATCTCATGGATCACCCTTTTTTTGGTCCCTTATTCACCTGGCCAAATAAACAAGAATGCTCTTACCTGGCCAGGAAGCTTGATAGAATCTTGGTAAATGACCAATGGCTTCTGGATTTTCCAGATTCTTTTGTGGAATTCAAAGCACAGGGGGTCTCTGATCACTGCCTTGGATTGATGTGGACTCATAAGCTTGCTATGACTAGGAAACCCAAGCCTTTTAAGTTCTTCAACTGCTGGACTAATCATGAACACTTCTTGGCTACTGTTAGGGATTCATGGCAGCAGCAGTGTGGAGGTTCTGCAATGAACTGTCTGTTCAATAAGCTTAAGAGGCTTAAGCCTTTGCTTAGGGGATTTAATAAGCAGTTTTTCTCTGACATTTCTGGTAGAGTAAGACTTAAAAGGGCTGAACTGGAGTATATTCAGATTTTCAACCTCGCTCATTCAAGCCAAAGGAGGATTGATGATGAGAGAAGGATTCATACTGAGCTTGTTGACCTGGAAGTTGCAGAATCTGATTTTTATAGGCAGCATGCTAATGTGTCCTGTCTTAGAGAAAATGACTTGAACACCAAGTTCTTCTATCAGAGGGTACAAGCTAATACAAAGAAGAACACTATAAGGGTCATTAGAGGTGAGGATGGACATATTCATGAATCTTTTGAAGGAATTTCAGCTGAACTAGTAGGTTTTTTTACTAGTATCATTGGTACCCCTGACCCTTTTGTTAGAGGTTGTTCTATTGAAACTTTGAGGGATTTGCTTAATTACACCCTCCCTGATGGTACTGCCTCCTCTCTCACTAAGGAGGTAAGTGATAAGGAGATCAAAGATGCCCTTTTTAGGTAAGGGAAGGACAAGAGCCCTGGTTCTGATGGCTTCACTGCTGGTTTTTTTCAAGGCTGCTTGGGATATTATTGGCAGTGATTTCACTTCAGCTGTGAGGTATTTCTTTCACTCCTTTTGTTTACTGCCTGCCTTTAATGCCACTGCCTTGGTCTTGATCCCTAAGTCCCTTAATGCTTGCTCTGTCAAGGATTTTAGACCTATTTCATGCTGTTCAGTAGTCTACAAAACTATCACTAGAGTACTGGTTAATAGGCTTACTCCTTACTTCCCTGATATGATTTCCCATAATCAGTCTGCTTTTGTTAAGGGGAGGAATATTGTTGATAACACTCTTTTAGCCCAGGAGATTGTGAAAGGTTACTCTAGGAAGAGCATTTCTCCTAGATGTGCAGTCAAAATTGATTTATAGAAGGCCTTTGATTCAGTTAATTGGGACTTTCTGCTTTCTGTGCTTGGGGCTATGGGGATTCCTGATATTTTTTATAATTGGGTTAAGGCATGTATCACTACTCCCATATTTTCTGTTTGTCTGAATGGTAGTTTGGTGTGGCATTTTAGGGGGGCTAAGGGGATCAGGCAGGTGATCCCATTTCCTCTTACCTTTTTGTCATTGTGATGAATGTGTTATCTTCTTTGCTAAATGTTGCTGCTAGGCAAGGGATCTTCAGATATCACCCTAAATGTAAAAGAATCCCCCTCACTCATCTTAGTTTTGCAGATGACTTATTGGTTTTTTGTCATGGGTCTCTTGACTCTATGATGGGTGTGTTAAGTACTTTTGAGCTCTTCTATAATATGTCAGGACTCAAGCTGAATGCTATGAAAACTGAGTTTTTTTCCTGTGGCTTGAATGATAATGCTCTGGATCTGATTCAGTCAGCTACTGGGTTTAGGCTTGCTCATCTCCTTGTCAGGTATCTTGGGGTACCCCTTGTTACTCGTAAGCTGACAGGGAGAGATTGTTCTGCCCTGTTGGAGAGGGTTAAAGGTAAATTGAGACAATGGTCTAGCAAGAATTTAAGTTTTGGGGGGTAGGCTTCAATTGGTTAAAACTTTTTTATTTAGAATTTTTAACTATTGGAGCAGACAACTCATCCTCCCTAAGGGTATCATCAACGACATTGAGAGACTTTGCATGAGATTTTTTTGGAAAGGTTGTGATGCCCCTGCTAGAGGTATTAGTGTAGGCTGGAATCAGGTTTGTTCTTTGAAATCCGATGGTGGCCTTGGTCTTAGGGACCTTGCCTTGTGGAGTAAAACATGTTGCCTGCTGCTCATTAGAAACATTTTGGCTAACGAAGGTTCTCTTTGGATTGCCTGGATCCAGGAATACTGTTTTAAAACAGTGAGCTTTTGGGAGGTTGAAATTCGAGCCCACTTTAGTTGGATTTTAAAGAAGCTTTTGAAGCTTAGAGAGGTAGCTAGGAGTATGTTTTTGCCTTCTGCCGACTTGAGCTTAGTTAGAGGCAAGTGGATTTGGGAAAGGGTCCGGATTTGCAGGGAGAATGTCAGATGGCACATAATTATTTGGTTCCTACCCATATTCTTAAATTTTCTCTCATTTCTTGGATGGCCATCCTTGATAGACTGCCTACCAAGGATAGGCTGGTTTGGTTTGGTTTGACTTTGGAAGCTGGTTGTGTTGTGTGTGGGATTGGTTTGAAGTCCCGGGACCATTTGTTTGCAGAATGTCCTTTTGCTAGGGATGTATGGAATGTTGTTCTTATTTCTTGTGGATTGCGATCTGACTTGTTTAGTTAGGATGATCGCCTAAACTGACTGATTGATAATTTGAGGGGAAATTCCCTTCGTGTGCGGATCCTCAAACTTGCTTGGACTGGCTACCTGTATTATATTTGGGAGGAGCGCAACTATAGAAGTTTCAGAGGTTTTTCTCGTTCTGTTATAGTATTGTAAATAGAATTAGGGAGTCTGTTAAAACCAAATTGTATAGTCATTGCATACATAGGACCGATGATGTTAATAGGCGTATGTGCATAAATTAGGGTCTGTTATAGTGTTGATACTTGCCTTGTTTTGTTGCAGCTGAGCTGCATTCTTTTTTTGGATGGAATATAATTTACTTACCAAAAATATAATTATTTCAGCTTCGAACTATGCTTAAAAAGCATCCCTTTCTAAATCCACACACGAAAAGCTAAAAACCAAATCTTTAAGCTTCCAATCTTGGAGGAAATATTGGAATTTTTTATGACTATATATGCAGTATATCATGATTGTTTACAAGGTTGAATTTGGTATAAATTGGTTCACAAGGAAGGAATTGGCAAATATTCTCTCTTCCCAAATGGATTTTTCTTCAACCTCAAGTGTATAAAAATCACCTTAAACTATCCTCATAACACATTTGAAAGTACAAATTTTTAATTATCTTCATGAGAAAAATTAGAAAAAAAAACTCTTATTCTTTTAATATAATATAAGAGATACTTTTTTAAAAGAAGAAGAAGAAGATATGATCACTTTATTAATCTTACTAATGGACTAAAAAGAATGTGATAAATTTTCTTAAATAAATTAGAAAAACTAATTAAAAATGAATCATGAACCTAGTATATCATTTTTAATTTTTGGTAACTAAATGACAAACTACGAGAGTCCTATTAGGCTAATTATTCCTCTTCCTAACTATTTCTGCGGGTGGCGTATCCAGGCAGTGGACCGCTATTTCCATCGGGGTTGCTAGTTTAGCCAGCTGATCTGCAATTTGGTTGTTTTCTCTTCGGGTGTGGAGCAATCTTACCGTCCATTCGTCCTTCAGCATCTCGCGAATGTGAAGCGCAACTGAGGGGTCTCCCCTTCCTTCTTTCGGCTTTGTTAGCAACTGGACAGCGTCCGTGCTATCAAGTTCAACATCTAGGTGAGTAATCTCTAGTTCCCAGGCAGTTTTTATTCCAATATAGTCCCCCCCCCCCAATATAATTCAGCTTCCATGGTTGGGCACACTCCTATGAATTTGTAAAACCCCAGAATCCATTTACCTGTATGGTCTCTAATGAGTCCCCCGCATTTGGCTACTCCATTTTCTGGATTGCAGCTAGCGTCAGTGTTGGCTTCAACCCACCCCGCAGGTGGTTTCGACCAATGTGCTGACTTTCTTCTGTCTTCCTCAAGCGCACCCATACTATTGGGTTTAGGAGGTTCGTTCAGTTTTTTTGTGTGGTTGGTACACAAATTTTGAATTTAGCGGCTCCTCTCTAGCACTGATCCTATTGCTTCCATTGGTGAGTCAAACGCGATAACATTCCTTGACAACCAAAGGTTCCATAAGATTGAGCCAAATAAGACTGCCCAATTCTGTGTTTCTTTTGCATACTGGTTTTGGCTATCAAGGTTCGACAGGATCCACGTCCTTACGTCTATTGACATGAATTCATGGCGTTTGTCTGGTTTGATGATCGATGACCAGACGCTCAATGCTTGGGGGCACCAACGTAGTAGATGGTTTAGGTCCTCCGGACCTTTGTTGCAAGTTGGGCATCTATCGTTACTTGTGAGATGTCTCATTGTTCTTTCGGCGTTGGTCATGATTTTACTCTTGCATATGAGCCATATGAAAATCTTGATTCTTTGAAGTCCTTTGAACCTGTGGATGCTCTTCCATAAGATTTCTTCGTTGTTCACGTGGTGGCCGCATCTAATTGCATAGGCAGATTTTATGGTGAATTGCGTGTCTTTATTCCCTTTCCACCCCGTTGTGTCCCCAGCTAGCGATGCCAAGCGACCCTTCACAGCAGCCACCCTCATCAAAATATTTGCTGGAAGTAAATGTTGGAAATTATTCCATAACCAATTACCTGCATTAACTACCCTTTAAGCTATTGACTCATTACCTGTTATGACTATATTATGCGGTTGGACATAGGAGATGAGAGGGTCTATGCCATCAATCCATTGGTTCCGCCAAAAGTCTGTGTCTTGGCCATTGCCGATATTCCAAATTAAACCTTCTTTAACGTCATTCCAAACAAGGTTTATTGCTTTCCATAGTCTAGAGGCATTGCTGTTCTTTAACTGCCTTGGTACCCTCTCATGGCATTTGTATTTCGCTCGAAGGAACCGGACCCATAGAGCATCATTTTTTGCTACTATATTGAAAGCTAGTTTCGTAATGAATTCTTTGTTTTGTGTGTTCAACTTCTTGAATCCAAGAACATCTGTGTTCAAAAACCTGAGTTATTACTTGTTCCGGAGTGAGTCGGGAAGGCCTATATCCGATAATGTGTCTTCGATGAATTCCCATTCCAATCTGTCGTATGCCTTTTCCAAATCGATCTTAATTGCCATCCAGCCAGTCTTTCCTGATTTCCGTCTCATTGAATGAATTAAATCCTGAGTTATTACTATGTTGTCCGTGATAGCTCTTCCTGGTACAAAGCTAGTTTGATTTTCTGATACCCAAATCGGCAAGTGGGGTTCTAGTCTGTTAACAATGACTTTTGTCAATGTTTTATAGAGAACGTTGCATTAGACTAATTGGTCGAAACTGACTGATTGTTTCAGGTGTGAGGACTTTAGGTAGGAGAATGAGGAGCGTGTCGTTTAACTCTGGTGGGATAACTTCACTCTCCCATATTTGGCGTAAGTAGGTGCACACCGATGGGCCTACTGTTTCCTAGTTAAGTTGGTAGAATGTCGCTTGTAATCCGTCGATGCCAGTTGCTTTTAGGGGACTCATGTCAAAGATTGCTTTTCGAATTTCTTCATTTGAAATAGGCTCATTAAGATCTTGCCTATCCATTGCTGATAATTCATTGAATTTTCCTCTTGTCTCATAGTTGGATCCATTTGATTTAGAAGAGGAGAATAATGTTTGGTAGAAGTCACGAGCCAACATTGCGAGTTTCTCTTGGTCCGTGAACCAGCTTCCTTGAGAATTTTTTAAGGAGGTGATGGTGTTCGCCCTCCTTCGAGTCATAGTCGAGGTGTGGAAGAACTTAGTATTCCGGCCGCCTTGTAAAGCCCATTGTGTACAACCTTTTTGTCTCCATAATAATTCTTCCTGTTCTAATACTGAGATGAGTTGTGACTCCAGATCTTCGAGGAATTTCGACTGGTCTTGTTGTAATGCACTCTCAATACCCTTCAGTCGGGCTTTGATGGTCCTTTTCCTCTTGCCTATGTGTCCAAAAACATCTGTGTTCCATTTCTCCATAATTGTTTTGAAAGTTTTGGATGTTTTCTAAGGATATTTTATCATTGCTCCAGTTGGTTGCGAGTAGCTCCTTAAATTGTGCATGATCCTGCCAGGCAGCGATAATCTAAAAGGTCTGTCTTGTTTATTTCTCTTGTAATCAGTTATCCAGAGCAGTAGAGGTCTGTGATCAGAACCTATCCGATCAAGGTTGGTGACATGAGAATTCTGAAATGTGTTGATCCAGCTTGAATTGGCTAGGAACCTAAGCGCTGTTGAAGATTTCCCCGTTTCCATGTGAATGGTGAGCCTATAAATCCCATATCGATCAGCCCTTTTTCTAATATGAAGTCCGCAAATAGCTTGCTACCTCCTTCGTTATGGGTTGATCCGCCCGTTCTTTCCTCTGGTTCTAGGATTGCATTGAAGTTACCGCCTACAATCCATGGGATATTGTTACCGGGATCCAGTCTCGCTAATTGTTCCCATATTTTCTTCCTTTTTGAACCTTGGGGACTTGCATACACAGCCGTGAATTGAATCCAGGACTTTGTTTCTTTTGATCGGAATTTTCCATTGATGAATTGTGTCTTAACCGGTTTTCGTCCGGGCACGAATTTTTTTTTACTTGACGGGAAAAGTGATGTGAATAAATGGTTTTTTAAAATAATTTGGGAGTCGCCATCGGCCTTTTGGGTCAGGTAGGTCGAATACCTAAAAAATCATCCTTTAAAAGAGTTTTTAACAAAACATCGATTAAAAGATAAATTGATATGCGTTTTAACCAAAAATTTGTTCTTTTTAATAATAAAAAGGGATTCGTGGTCGGTTACGTTTAGAGAGTGATTAGCACCCCTACAACGCCTAAAATTTGTACTTTTTAATTATAAATTGTCTCTATTATTAAAAATTTAAAAACTCAAAGTATATTTAATCTATAATCCTATTATTTCAAAATTATAATTATGAAAAAATATTAATTTATATATATTTATAAATAAAATATTTATTTATTTAGAAATATCAGAAAATGACTTCTAGGTGTCTTAAGACAGCTCTTTTATTTGATATTAATAAATAATTAATTATAAAATAGGATATTTAGTAAAAATATCAGAAAACGGACTTCTAGGTGCTTTAAGACAGTCATTTTCTTAAAAATAAATATATATTAAAATATGATTATTAAAAGTGATTTATGAAATATAGGATTTTAACAAATAAACAAATATTATTTATTATATATATATATATATATATTTATATAAATAATAAAAATAAAAATAATGAAATAATAATTAAAAATAATAATAATAATAATAAAATAATATTGCAAATAATGATTAAAATAAAAGGAAATAAAAATATAGTATTTAAAAAAATTAAAAATCATAGCCAAAAATAAAAATTAATGATTAAAATGTAAAATTATAAAACTAGAGTCCTAATTCGAAATATTATAAAACTTGAGTGCTAATAGTGTGATTTAACCTATATTAATTATTAGGGATTGAAATATTAAATATAAAAATATGAGGGACTAAATATGATATTTATCCTAAATATATATAAAATTACTGTTAAGGACTAAAATACATATATGTGA